CGTCTCGGGGCGTGGGCGGGGCCGGGCCATGTTCGGGGCGGGGCCTTGCTTGGGGGCGGGCGGGCGCCCCTTGTTCAGGGCCGCTGGGGTCCTGAGCTTCCCAGAGGCCAAGTGCAGCTTCTGGCCGACAAGCGAGGGCATTCCCCCCCAGATGGCCGAGATCCGATGGGGTCTGATTGTGACGTGCGGCCTCCTTCCCAGCTGACATCTACGACAAGGTTGCTGGGGAGATCCAAAGAAAGGGCTACGACTGCGAGTGCCTGGGCGGCGGGCGGATCTCGCACCAGAGCCAGGACAGGAAGATCCACGTGTACGGCTACTCTATGGTGAGCAGCCCGCCGGCCACCCACACTCGTGGATGGGGAATGACCCTCTTGGTGCTGGCCGGTCCACTTCAGGCCAGGCGGCCCTTCCCAGCATCCGCATCCTCTGGCACCCCTTGGCAGCATCGGAGGTGGGATCCTTCTCTGGACTTGAAGGAGGGGGACCTGGCCTAACCTTGCCATCCTCTAGGCATCTGGTGTTCGCGTTCCCCTCCTCTCCCGCCAGCCTCTCCTTGTTCCTTTGCAAAATTCATCACCACATAAGTGTTCACGTAGTGGCAGGGGCCAGTCTCTAGGGCTCTGCCCCTACTGGGTGGTCTCCTGCTCTTGCGCTCTGCTATTCTTGCCCATACCAGGCCAAGACCTAGTGCCCACTTCTCGTTCCAGGGCTACGGGCGTGCCCAGCACTCCATCTCTACAGAGAAAATAAAGGCCAAGTATCCGGACTATGAGGTCACCTGGGCAGATGACGGCTACTGAAGAAGGCCTGGGCCTTGCCATCTCACAGCCACGCAAGCACTAGCTGTGTCTGCCCTGGCTGCCCTCCTGGGGGACCAGGCCAACCTTGCTGATCCGAAGCACCGTGCTGTTCTTATTGGGCTCCAGAGACAAGGCAGTCTAGGCCCCAGGGCCACCCGCAGGAATTAAAAGTGTGGTCACTTCTGTCTGATTCTGGACTCTTTCTCTTCCCCTTTCTTCTCTTCCTCCCCCTGCCCAGCCCCTGGGCCTGAGCTCAGCCCTCCAGGTCCCAGACAAAAGCCTGTGGGAGGCAGGGTGCTGCCCTGACCGCTCCTGTGCCAATAGTGCACACTCAGCCCTTTGGGGTCCGATAAGGACGCAGGCCTCTCCTCCACCCCCTTTATGGCCTGATTGCCCCTTGTGGCTTCAGTGCTCAAGGACTCTGAGGAGAGGCCTGGAATCCTTGCATGGGGTCAGTGCCGGCCCCTCACCACTCCTTGGCCACGTGATACCCTGGGAGCGAGCCTTGTAGACGCTGCTTCTGAGAACTGGCCTCAGGCTGCCCTGGAGCGGAGGCATCTGTGTTCTCACAGCTGGTCACCTGCCCATGTCCTGCTGCCCGTGGGGGCCCCACACATGCCAGTGACTAGAAGAGATGAGGGGCCAGAGGGAGGGCAGGTCAC